TCTGGAGGTTTCACCACACGACATAATCTTTAATTAAAGAGTCATCTTTAATTCCTGGAGACTCCAGGACAGTTCTGTAGGGGTGGCAACCCTAGTTGAAACCGTTTGGTTCTACCCTATCTGGCATAATTGGTTGATACTTGGAAGAAGGAGAAAGCACTGCGACTTGGTGAAGGGGAGTTAAAGCCCTAGCTTGACATGGATGCTTTGAGTATCATCTTTTAGATGCTTACAGAGTTATGAGGGTCAAGTTCATAGACTCAAGGGCACTACACCTTCAGCAGTTCCCTAGGACTGGACCATGTGCTGCTGTCCAGCCATCCAGTCCAATTGATTTGCAATAACGGAACTTGGAACTGCTTGAATGGAAAGGAGGGTGAAAAGTGAAATTCTTTATCAAGAGAGGCCCAGATTTAAGGGGATTATAAATCTGTGCTCAATTTCTTTCCCTGATTGAGGCTCAGGGAAAAGATGGTCTTTCTCTAGTTTCTGTCATGCCAGAAAAGGGCAGAAAAACTTCAGTTGAAGAAGAAAGCAAAGATCCTATGGACTGATGAGAAGGGAAATTGAGCAGCATTTTAAGGGTATTGGACTCATTTTTTGTTCTGTTACTTGGCAGCTGGAGTCATAAGGAAGAGACCACAACAGACAAATTGATTACTATTGTTAGCAAAAGAGATAACTATGGAAGAAATAAATGTTACTTTATTTATATAAACACTTTGAATTTGTTATCCTGTTTTCTATATCCCCTTTTTGGCATAGTTCTGTTTGATGCCAAACAAAAGCCCTATTTAAAAGCCACTTGAGCAGATATTTTTTCTGTAAAATTAATGTAATACCTCACTCTCAGTGATAAGTAATTTTCCCAGTTATTTTAGTTTTAAAGTGACATCGTATTTTAGATGCAAGCTGGATCCCTGAACAAGTTACAACTACATAATTTAAATATACCAGTAAAAAAGTTATTCCATCAAAGGAAAATTCAATGATTTGTAGTATCTTATAGTAAATATTTACCAAATAAAAATATTTTAAAGTAGTATGAGTCACTGTTTAAGATTTTTTACACTTACAAATAATGCCGTTGTCTCAGTAGTCTTGTTTACCCTAGGAAATGTCTGCTGCTGACAACTGGTGTTGGAATCAGGTGCAACCATGGATGAAAACAGTCTAATTGCAAGTGTGGATAGAATGAACATAGTTTGAAGATCTGTCTGATGCAGGTTAATATGCAGGAACTGTAACTCACTATTTGGGTCTATAAAAAGGAGAGTTTCAAAAGTTGTTGCAAAATAAGTTCTACTTTTCTAGTTAATTTTACAAAATAAAAATAGGACTTGCCTGCGGGTGAGTTCACATTCAAATGGTAAATTACATTTCTAGTCCTTCATTGCTTCCTGTTTGATCATTAATTATTCCCCCCGTTCTAGTGTTGGGGGTAGCAAATGCTATTGTTAAGGTCATGTTCACGCTACAGTAACTTTCTATTTTCAAAAGTTCATAGCTGTTTGAAAAATTGTCTTTTAGACCCACATCTGTTTTTAAGCCTAGGTATAATTATTTTTAATTTGAGGATAATTCTTCCACTTTTAGTTACAGAATGGTGATGGGAGAACAGTATTGAGGAGTGGCGGGGAGGAGGAGCATACACACACAACTAAACAAAAATATTTTCCAAACTTGGCGTTTAACTTGTCCTAACTACAGCCATCTGCTAGCTATATTTTTAGGGAAGATGTTTTAAAATAAAGCTAAATGTTCTAATAATCATTTTGAGCTTGCTACAAGTGTAGTAATTCCTCATGAAGCTCTGACTTTGACATCACACAGAATGCAGGGAGAAATGCACACCAGGACACAGCTGCAGTAGGTGCTGCTGCTGGGACAATTTGCATGAGAGAGATTATAAATGTCTGATTGAAATACTTGAGCAAGTTGCTCCCAAAATCAAGAACTAGCCTGTGGCCAAGATTTTCAGATGTGTACCTAAAGTTAATATGCATAATCCATATTTAAGTGCCTAAATATAAATGGCCTGATTTTTAGAAATGGACATACACCTCTACCCCAATATAACACAAATTCTGATATAACGTGATAAAGCAGCGCTCTGGGGGGCCGGGGCTGCATGCTCCAGCAGATCACCGTGTCTGACTTGACACACGCTGCTCTGAGCGGTGTGTTAAGGGTGCCGGGCCAGGGCATTGAATAAGGGGCAGAGGGTCTCAGGGAGCAGGGGGGTTGGATGATTCAGAGCTTCTGGGGGCGGGGCAGTCAGGGAACGGGGACGTTGGCTAGGGCATGGGAGTCCTGGGGGTGATTAGGGACAGGGGGGGTCTCTGGAGGGGGTGGTCAGGGAACAAGGCGCAGAGGGGCTTAGATAGGGGGTGGGGTCTTGGGAGGGGTGTCTCTGGAGGGGATAGTCAGGGGACAAGGGGCGGGGGGGTTGGATGGGTCGGGGGTTCTGAGGGGTCAGTCAGGGGGTGCGAAGTAGGTGGGGGTCAGATGGGGGAGGCAGGCATGTTTGCTGACTATTAATAACGGAAATGCTCGAGGCCAAAGCAAGTTCGATAGAACGCGGTTTCACCTATAACACGGTAAGACTTTTTGGCTCCCGAGGACCGTGTTATATCGGGGTAGAGGTGTACCTGCAAATCCCACTGAAGTAAATGGGAAGTGCCAGGTGCTCAGGAAATGCTTATTCCCAAATGTAGCAATTGCTTCCATGAGAAGGCCAGTTGATTTCAGTGGGAAACGACGTCTCAGTAGTAAGCACTATGCTTGGTATTAAATGTTTTTGCAAGTTCAGGCCCTTGAAGTCATAGTTGGGAACTGCAAAAGGTAAGGTTCTCACAGAAGTAATAAATTCACCAACACTACCTCTCCCTTTTACTTGTTTAATCATATAATATACATTGGGTCAACATTTCAAAGGGATAACCTTTTTTTCAGATGTTTTTTGCATCCTCAAAATTTGCACTTTGCACCCCAACTTAGCTGCAGTCACAAGCTGAGACCGCAGGTCAACGGCAGGCACAAATCTGTGTATTGTTTGTGGGTGAAAAATAATTGATATAACTTACCCACCTTCACACCAACAATTCATGTTGTAGGTACAAATTTTAAGTGATTCCAGGCCTCAGCTCTTTCAGAATTTACCTGAGTATCTGCAGTGTAGTCAGGCTATTATTACCCTGAGAACCTTTTACATTTGTATCCCTAGTGGTGCATTAACATTTGTGCAGTTGACAATTTCCTAGTGATGTGTTGTAGTTATTTTACTGTATATTACATTGAAGTGTTCCTTTAATGGTAGTCTTATGGAAGGAAGAAAAACATCAAGAAAATTATTGACAATTATTGACTCCTGGTGGAATTCTGTGCCAAAAAAATAAAAATTATGTGCAAAATATTTTAAAATTCTGCATATTTTATTTGTCAAATAACACAATATAATCACACCAGTTTCAATCATTTTTGGTAATTTATTTCAAAATACCTGTCAACAGGTATGTCTGTAACAATACAGACAACAAAAAAGATTCAGGAAATGTTTTTTGACAAATAGAGTCCTTACTAGGCATATTAATACAGAACTCTGAGTAGTAATTCATTTAAACTACAATACAGAACCGTATTTCCCACACCCCTCAGAAGCAGTGCAAAGGCTTGGGGGAGTCAGGGGTAATGGAGGAGCTGAGGGAGAGGGAAATAAATTGCTGGGAAGGAGCCTGGGTGTGAACTTGGAGGGTTGTTGGGTATGGGTGGGAAAAGTATGGAAGAGGTTTTTTTGGGGGGGTGGGTGGGAAGGGATTGTTAGGGAGCTTCCCTCATGCAGACCGTGGCTGACCCCTAGCCTCTCCCATTCAGTCAGGCACACCCGCCCAGCCCCATGTGTCTGTACCCTCACCCAGCCACGCCCCTGTCCCCATGTGTCTCTGTGCCCCCTCCCAGCCACTCCTGTCCCCACCCTCCCCTGTGGCCCTGTGCCTCCACTCCCATTCAGCCCCTCCCTGCTCCAGTCGTTCCTCCCCCACTAGCCCTTATGAACCCATCTGACCCCCCAGCAGCCCCTTGCTGCCTGTCTCCCCATATCCCTTGTCTCCTGACCTGGCCTGACAAGCTCTGCAAAGAAGGCAGCTCTCTCCCCTCACTGGCCATGAGCTGCAGCAACATTTCAGCAGAAGCTTTTTTCTGCACAAAGAATTAGAAATCTGCAGGGCTCATTAATTATGCACGTGCACAGTAGTGCAGATTTCCCCCAGGAGTAAATATTACCATCTTACATACTATATTAAGTTAATTGGTGGAGCTTGTGCTGGCTTTGCAATACCTGTATGTAACATTCTGAATACTGCATCCAATTAATTCCAAAATTTCAGGACATCACTGGTCAGAACAATTCAAGTTTTGTGGAAAATTATAGCACCTGTGCAACTATCAAAAGATCAGACAACTGGTTGATGGCACCAATTGCCATCTTTCAGCACAATACACCATCTCTGCTCAAGTTCCCTATAAAGTTTAACATATTGACACCTTGAATTATTCTTCTCCCAGACAAAGAATGGTGGGGGAGGAGGGGAAGGAGAGAATAGGCAACAGAGGTATGAGAGGAAGAAAGAATAGGGGGCACACAATCCCGGAAGGGGGGGGGGGAAGATTGGAGGACCCTGGCATGTGGTGGAGGGAGAAATGGAGGAGCACACAGAGTCCCAGCCATGGGGGATATGGGGACACTGAAAGGGGGTGGGGGAAGTTGAGGGAATTCCTGAAATACAGGGAATTGGAGAATGGTACATAGATCATTGTGGGGGGCGGGGGGAAATATGCAATGAGTTCCTGGTGTGTGCAATAAATTTGACCTACAGAAGCTACCAAGGGTGATTCTCTACTAGATTATAATAAAACAAAACAATGATGTAAATTGCTCTACTTAAACCTTCACAGTTATGAGACAGTTATTAGAAAGTGAATCTATACAGGTGCAAAGAATACAGTGTTTAAGCTGTAACATTTTTATTTAATTGGCATTTGGCAGTGCTTAATACACACAAAGTTAAAATCAAATGGATGAAAAATTATTATTGTACCTTAAGTATCAAATTCTTTCATTTATTCACCCTAGAACCAAATTATATACTAGAAATTTCAGTCATTTTATTAAACATTTGTGAATTTCATAACTCTTTTCTGACACAATTTTACATCAGAGTAAATACATACATAAAGTAGGAGGTTAAGTAATTGTGAGAAAATATATTTGCTGATGGTGCCTATGGCTGTAATGTGTAAGTGGTCAGTACACAGCACTCTGGCCATCAGAAAGTTTCATTCTTCAAGCAGCCATGCTAGTGATTTCTACAGCTGGTTGTTTCCAGGATCTTCATTGCAACTGTTCGCACCAAAAGTTTTTAAAAACTCATACCCAATAAGTAACAGCATCATATTAAGTGTCCTTTAAAGTGGCATTGCCAAATTTGCCTTTGAACATTTCAAATATGTTGATCCCATACCAAAAATGACACATGAACTCAAGTTTGTCAGTTATTTAAGAAGTTTTGGCACACTTAGTGTAGGAACTGTAATTTCTTTAAAAATTGGCACATAGTTAGGATTTGGTTGGCTTGAACCTTGGTCCAGAGTTTCAATGATGGTCTGTTTCATGTCCCTGCTGGCATCTCCTCTTACTGTCAGCAAAGCTGCAATGTGGTCATCCCTGCCAAACAAAGGTACAAACCCGCAATGTCAGTACAAACATTTGTACAAGTAATTAAGCACTTGACAAAATGTGTTAGATCACAAATTTTCTAGCCATCATCTTTTGACTTAGTGCCACAGTACCTTTGCAGCTTAGCCAGGCTTCCAGACATTCAAAAATTGTGCTCACAGGTCAACTTCTCAGTCTCTTTGTAAAGAATTCTCTCCTCCCACTTTGAAACTATGAGATGAGTGCTGTGTAATATAAATTTGTTCTATATTCCCAAAATATTTCCTTTGATATGCCAGAGTACATATCCACCCACACCACTCTAGCATACATGTGTTAAAATATTACATTTTATTGTATGGATCTCACAAGAAGGTGATTAAACCATACAATAGAAAAAACAATAAAAGGATATACATAGCCTACACAGTACTACTCTAGCCTAGAACTAACCTTAAAAGAATCAGTACTGTTAAAACTCAAAGCTAAGACACAGTATGAATGATATTACCTGATGTCTGGGTATTTACTAACTAAAGTTGAGACTTCCAGATAAAGCAATGAAGGATCAGTCAGCTTGATAACTTCTGCAATGGCTACAATGATGTCACAAAGCCCTTCAGTGTGCTCTCCAGATCCCTATAAATTGAATAACAAAAAACATAAGCAAAAAAATTCTTTAACCTTTACTCTCAGTATTTTGTTACAGACACTAACTGCATTGTTTATTTTCAAAACTTCAGCTGAAATTTAAGACAAATTGTTAGTAAAATTGGAAGGAAAAAAAGGCCACAAATTACCACAGATGATATCTTCCTCATTCTCGGTCTCCAATTTGCCCAATATATCTGGACGAAGCTACTTTAGTTTTTCTTGATCAATATTATTTGCCTAATCTAATCTGTACCATGTCCAGCACGTGGTTATCTGAGTGTCTAAACATTTATTTAGTTTCAGCTGGATACTCTTTCATACACCAATGTTCTCTTTTCTTTTCCCCTTATATTCAGGAATTAATACTTTTTTGTCTGCTTTAGGTCAGACCACCACCACATATTAGTGATTCATGGCTCTGAAGAGAATGGCCTCCAGTTTCAAGTACAGTAGAACCACAGACTTATGAACACCACAGTTACAAATTGACCAGTCAACCACACCCCTCATTTGGAACTGGAATTATGCAATCAGACAGAGCAGCGGAGACCAAAAAAAGAGGCAAATATAATGCAGTTATACGCAAACAACTAAAAAAATAAAATAAAGGGAAAGCTGCATTTTTCTTTTGCATAGTAAAGTTTCAAAGCTGTATTACATCAATGTTCAGTTGTAAACTTTTGAAAGACCAACCATAACGTTTTGTTCAGAGTTGTGAACATTTCAGTTACGAACAACCTCCAATTCTGAGGTGTTCGTAACTCCGAAGTTCTAATGTAATACAATTCTGTTGGATAGAACATCCCCTTCCTCTAGGCTCATCTCTGACAAGAACCGCATTTTTTTTAATTAGCTAATTTTTACTCTGTTTGCTATTTAGGCATCTTGGATTCCCATCTTCCAAAGCTCAGTCGTCAGCAGGATACTTCTCAAAATAATTGTTCAGGGTCACTCCCATGTGTATTACAGAAGTTAGAGCCTATTAAAGGTCATCTAGTTCACCTCTATGTTGATGCAGGATTGATTCCTACAGTACACTTCTAATATTTGGTCCAGTATTGTTTTAAAATGTCCTAAGTCTTTTACCACTTGCATTCAAAGATTATTCCATAGTTGAATACATCTTGCAGCACTGACATGCAAAGTGTCTGAAATTGTGTGTCAAGCTTCTGTTTGCAGTGTTGTTGAAGCCGTGTCGGTCCCAGGATATTAGAGAGACAAGGTGGGTCAGAGAATATCTTTTATTGGACCAACTTCTATTGGTGAAAGACAAGCTTTTGAGCTTACACAGAGCCCTTCTTTGGGTCTGGGAAAGATATTCAGGGTTTGTCTTTATGTACAGTGCTACAGCAGCGCAGCCACAGCACTTTAGTGAAGATGCTACTATGCCAATGGGAGAGCTTCTCCTATCAGTGTAATTAATCCACCTCCCTGAGAGGTGGTAGCTACATCGATGGGAGAAACTCTCCCATCAACATAGCGCTGTCTTCCTCAGGTGGTTAGGTCTGTATAACTACATCACTCAGGATGTGGATTTTTCACACTGCCGAGGGACGTTGTTATATTGATATAGGTCTGTAGTGTAGACCTGGCCTCAGAGAGTCACAGCTAAATACAATGTGGAACAGATAAGGAGTTAACATGTTGCAAGAGACCATTCAAGGTGTTAACTGCCCATCACAGGACAAAGTCGGGTTAGTGGGCTACACGTTGTTGTAATGAGCCATAAATCCACTAAGTGCCCTAATTACAACTACGTGAGTGAAACCAGATAATCACGAGGCTCTCAAATGTACTCGAACAGAAAAGTGATTAATGACAGAAACATCCTATCACCCGTTGGTGAACACTTTTCACAAAACAATCACTCCATATCTGACCTCTCAGTCCTTGTCCTCAAAGGAAACCTGCACAAAAACCTTCAAAAGATGAGTTTGGGATCTGAAATTCATAACTGCTGGATACCAAAAATTAGGGACTTAATAAAGACACTGGATTTATGGATCATTACAATAACCTGTAACCCACTAACCCTTCTTTGTCCTATGACTGTACAGGTATTAACTGCCTACTTCACCTTGAATGGTCTCTTGCATCATGTGTTAACTCACCTCTCCCACCTTGTATTTAGCTGTGACACTCTGAGTACCTTTCCCAGACCTGAAGAAGAGCTCTGTGTAAGCTTGAAAGCTTTTATTTTTCACCAATAGAAATTGGTCCAACAACACAATACTGCAGCCATCTTGTATATTAAACTTCTGCACAACTGAATTCAGGAGTCCAACATTACAGCCTAAATTCATACTCAGAATTCCAGAAAGGATGCAATAATGCCCCAGAAAACTTTAAACAGAAAATAGAAAAGTCTCTTCAGACCAATCAACAAGTTTGAACACCTTGCATATGATGTTTTACCCCAGAATTAAATGTCTATACATCTTTAGGAACAGTCAAATTTACATATCTGATCCTTTATTAACTGTCAGGTTAATGGCACAATTGGAGGGTATAAATACTTACAGCTGCCAATTTTTTAAACAGAAACCTGAACTGGTCTGCTTCTTTGATCATTCTTTCTGCACCATCTTTTCTTTCTTCTCCATTCTTGAAAGATATACGTTTTAACATGATAGCCTTGATGTACTCCACAACCACTCTACGATGGGCCTCAACAGTCATTTTCTGAGGAAGAGAAATATTAGAGTTGTACCAGTTAATTAAAAAAATTACCTGTCACTTCTGGAGAGTTATAATCAGGCTTTAAAAATGCACTTCTGCACTCACAACTGGCCCAAAGATAGCTTTCCCTGACAAGTGCCTGCAGCAGCAGTGAAAGGTTCTTGTAAGTTTCAAAAACCTGCTTTTGCCGGTGGGGAATCTTATGAACAGCTGCAGAGTCTTTGCGTCAAAATCTGGTTTCAGACACACAGATGTAAATCCAAAGTAATGCTACTGAGTTGCACAGAGTTACTCTAAATTTACACTGGAGTAGCAGAGATAAGAATCAGATCCCCTATGCTGAAGGAAGGGACAGATACCGGTAAGGTTGAGGCAGTAGAGATAAGATTGTTTCTGGTGATGGATCTGGACTGTTTAGGAGCTCAGAAACTTCCAAGAAATGGTGTAGATAAATGATGTCTGTGGAAGACTTAAGGGGAGCTTGATACAGATTCCTAAATGTTTACCAAAGGTTCCAACACAGATAAACTCAGTGTCCTCCAGGCTATTGGTGACAAGGAGGTAGACTACACTGTGTCTTCAATGATGAAAAGGCAGACGGTGGTGCTGAGGGAGCAGATGAAAGTAAGGGTCTGCTGGTTGCCAAAAGCTGTGTTGGCCCAAATCCCTTAAAATGAGATGGTGGTACAGACTGTGTGTTGAAAAGCCAGTGCCAAGCTCTGAAGTAGACAGAGCTCTTCTCTGTGCAAGACATTTTTGCTTCAGGGTGACAGAAGTATCCTTGTAAGGCAAGCTGATCCATGGGTTAGGACTAATTCCAGGAATGACTGGTCTTTTTCTTGTGAATTTTTTTTTAAATTACGAAGTAGTACTATGATTAAGTGTTAGACCTCCAAACCTGTAAATATGGAAGGTGAAGATGCCAAAATTGTCTTAACTAGGGCTAAAAGTCCTTTATCAGAAGGAATCTGACCAGTCTCTACTGATCTCTTGAGCCTGAAAAGTAAGGGAGGCATAGGCTACATGTAATTTGGGAGAGGATCCTTATTCCAATCATTCCAAATGATTAGAGAATGCATCAGATTTTATGTTCAGCGAATTTTCCTAAACCCTGATCTCCATGTCAGCTTCAGCCATTTTATGTTGATAATTTAGAAAGCAGGGAGGAAAACCTTGTAAAAATTATTTTAACTACACAAAACTGAATTAAAATTAAACTGATTAAAGGGAAATGCTCAAGCACAATATATTAAAAAGTAAAAGATAAAAAGTAGGTTTGATCTACTGTACAGCGGCAGTTCAAAGATCCATTGGCAGACAGAAAACAAAGGAACTGAGTTGGGACATTATGCCTCTAACAATTCTACTTTTAGCATGAGGTTTATGGCCTCAAGTAGGCTGATTGCTTTATATTGGTTCTGGAATTTACAGAACATGCAATTCCAAGAATGTATTGCAGAAGTACAGCGTTAGTGTCGAGACCAAAATCTCTATATAAACAGTCGTGAGGAAATAGTGCTATACTAAACTCCTGTGAACTTTATGGGCTCAATCCATTAGTCCCAATCTTCCTTAGGAAGAGTTAATAGGAATCTGAGTGAACAAAGGAGACATGAAAAAATTAGGATTTTTTGTGATAGATTTGTTTTTACTAATAGACAATTTATTTTTTCTGAATTACATAAATTAATAAAATGTTCAACGAATTAATCCGACTTGATACTCAGAGCATATTACCTGAGAATTATGTTAGGTAAAATACCTTTTTATAGGGTTTTTTTATTCTTGCAAAATCATTGAAATAATCCTCTACAGTGACACAGATTGTGTCCACAGCATTAGATCCAGTCAGCCACTTCTTTGTCATCAGCTCATTGAGATGTGGCTGAAAAAACAACAAAAATTAATCAGAAAAATTTCTGAAGGGTGCCTATGCCCTCATTTCCAACAGATCTTAAAATGAAGTTCAGAACAACAAGTAAAGTTGATTCCACAAATGTAGACCGTTTGTAAGTCTTTCATATGAAATAACTACATATGCAAATAGATCAGACTGGTAGTAAAAAAGGATAGTATTGCAATATTAGCATACAAAAACTAAAGTAAGCACCCAACTATTGACTCTAGTATTTGCTTTGTGTTAATTCATTGACAGTTTAAAGGTGTTTACTATGGATAAGGTAACAATTATATCCTGTCTAAATAAACTCAGAAGTGAAAAGACCAAAATGTTTATTAGCCCAAGATAAAAGATACTTATGTAACAGTTGTAATTGTTCTTATACTGAAATATTATCTGTCCTCTCCCGAATGAGCTATGATTGGCTACTACAAATTCCTCCTCTGATTGGCTACTGCCCCCAGAACTCCACAAGTCCACACCAAAACTGGTGGCCTAAATGTCTGATTCTTTCCCCACCACCTCTCCCCACTTACTTTATTTGCCTCTTAAGTCTTAATTCTTCATTTCCCTCTCTAAGAATAATTCTTTATAAAATATTGTATTTTATATCTTATATGAATAATGTGAGTGTTCGCACAGGGAGTTAAGAAGTCGAGGCAAGGGGCATATCTGGGGAATTCTAAGGACAATCACTAGAGTGGGAAGATTTTGTTCCTAATTCCCATATACTTCATGATAAATAAGTAACTGGAGCTGAGCAGCTCCTAAGGTTCACAAGAAAAAACTTTTCTGTGAACCTTCCATGGTGCATGGATATGGCTTGTAGTCACTTACAGAATATGGAATTCAAAAGTGCTATTGCTAGTTTGTTGCAAAGCAACAGAGCTACTAAGTCCTAGAGGAGTCGACTCCTTTTTATTCTTCCCCACTTTTTTCTTTAAAAAAAACCAAACCCACATTCCAAGGGAAATGCCATACAAGAAACCATGTTAAAGTTGCATGTTTCAGAACCAAAAAGTTAGGAAATGCCACAGTTAAGGTTGTAGGCACAACCTTAACTCTTCCCCCTTCAACATGTGCTCGATACACTCTCATTACGTGATCTTAAGTTATTTCCCAAATAATGCAATATATTAGCCTTTGTTTTCCCTACAACTTTGGATACTCAAATGTTACGTCAGCACAATATACTTATATATGCTAGACACACACTGCCTGCTCAAATCATTTGTGTGAAGTGTACACAAGTCTATTTTTACACAACATACTACATATATTACCCTGCATTAGCAAGTTTGTTGACATATTGCTATTATGCAATACAAAACCCACCTAACTAGCAGCCAAGATAGCTTCTTAATTAACGTCCTTATTCCTGAATTTCATAATAAAAAAGGCTCCTTTTGGAGGAAAAATAAGTTCCAACCTCTAAATCCATGAAGACTTCATCTAGCAGGCTAGAGCATCCTTCCTTGGCAATGGTGTCTAAAATTACATCCATGTTTGCATGGCTGCTTGACATTCCCTCTTCCATTTCATTTTTCAAATATTTCCTTTTCAAACTGATTATAGATTCTCTGCGATAAACAAGAACATTTTTCAGCATCCAGTCTGACATGTATGTACTAGTACGCACTGTTATTAATGGTTATTAAATTGTGTTTGTGAGGGCATGTGTATGCATGAATGACACATTGGGTGGTGTTGGTTTGGGAGGATGAATGGCCTTTGTAGCCTGCTCTGTAGGTCTTTATTCCAGCACCCGGCTACGTCGCTTTAATTACTACCTTAGGGTGCCGCTAAGCATGTGTGACTACTTTTCTACAGCTATAGAGGTCTGGAGGGCCAAAGGAATGGATGTGAGGGTTTGAGTCCCTCAATCTCTGAAGTAATGGGCAGGTGAGATACCAGGCAAGAAAAAACATGGTATTGGCACCAATGTTTAGATATTCAATCTCTTTTGCATTATTTTGGCCTATAGTCAGGTCTCAAGAAGCTGGGATGTCAGAAGAGATTCCAGTCTTAGATGTATGCTGTTAAATGCAAGATTGGTGGTTTATGATTTAATTAAGGAGGAGGGCTCCTCTTCTGTGTATATTACTGAAATCTCATTATAGCTGGACTCATTTGGGAACAGTTGGTACTAGGCTGGTATTTAGTACAGCATGAACAAAAGGGGGATTGATAGGGAGGGAACATAATTCTTTTTGCATCCACTCTGAAAAGTTGAAGGTCTCCTACCCCAAAACTGAACTGAATAAAGGGTATTCATCTTTAATCGTTGACGAAAGTCCCAGGCTGGAGTTAAGTTGTAACTTCCCTCTTGTACTTCAAAATCCCTGTGTGATCTAATAAAATTCTTCACTATAGCAATTTGGAAGAAGCAAGGCTGATAGTGCTCAGGGACTGAAAAAATCCATGAAGAATTCTTAGAATCATCTCAGGTTTTCATGGCACTGACCACCATAGGCCCATTACAGATGGTTACGGGCTCCATTCACATAGTTGATCACACTTTTGATATAATATTTGGGCCAAAACTGGAGGTTAGAAAGTTGGAAATTAGGCCCTCCTCATGACCATTATTTTCTACATTTTGAGATTGGGGCACCCCTATCCTGTCAGAACAAGGGATATGATTTGATTGTCTTCAAAATGTAATGAATCCACAGTACTACCAAAAGATCATGAGGGATTATATTGGTCCTCTTCCAGATCAACCTATTAAGCATTTGGTAAGATTTTATAATAAAAAAAGTATCCTCAATCGTTACAGTGGTCTCTACACACCCATTTCTCCAGCTTTGCCTACACAGGCCACAGTGGTTTACAGATGAGTTATGACATATCAAGTGTAAGGCAGAAGCCATGGGCTAAAGCGAATTGATAAAGATTTCTTTAAATTCTCATGCCATGACTCAGAGAGGCAAAAAAAAAAAAAAAAAAAAAAGTTATTTTTCTTCCAAAGCTCTGCAAAGTCTTAATTGGTGGTTTTATTTTAAGTGGTGGACAGCTTGATTAGCCTGAGCTGCTTTTGCTCAGTGGCCAATTTCAGTGTCACCTTAAATGGATTGGGACCTGCCTTTTTCCCTCTGCAGTCAGTTGAGACACTTGAGCTGAAGCCCCCTTGGTATAAAAAAGAAGGAACAGCTGGAAGGACATTCGCCAATAGCGGCCCTCAGTTTAGATTTCTTATATGCATTATAAATTGAGATAAATAAATAAATATTGATTATTTTTTTACAATACTGTATAAATGTGCAAACTTACTTAAAGGTCTGACAGTTGTTGATTACGGCAATCATATATTGAACATAGCACTGAGGATGCTGACGATTTTTTAGGTGCTCCTCTTTATATAATTGGGCTTCTTCTTTGTACCTGTAGCAAACCCAAAGAGCTATTAAATAGATGAAAAGCTACACAATTCTAAGCCAAATGCCCACTGACAGCCTGAAGAACATTTACAAAAATGTGTTTTGTGGAAAGCTGATTGGTCACATAGTATTGGATCTCCTCTTTGTTTCCACCTGATTCTACAGGTCTCTAGGATTTCCATTGCAAGACTTTAAAAATCAGCTGAGTGTAAGAAGGATGTGCCTGCCTAGCTGCCTCTATTTGGAACCATCGCTTTACTGCAGAAGATATAGAGTCAGGAGCTGATCTCAAGAACTTGACCACCAGTGGGACTGGAGCTGCCAGTCACCAACAGAACAAAATTTCCAGGGGGAGCAGAGAAGGAAAAAAGCAGCAAGGTACCATGTTCAGTGGAAAAAGGACCAGGTGGCATATCTGGGAGAGGACAGGGATCAGGCAATAGGGAAGCATGTACAAGGAAGCAAAGGTAGGAGTATGGGACAGCGAGAGAGGGAGGACTAAGACTCCAGAGTATCCCACCCACCCCCTTTTTTTTTTTTTACCTTGTCAGGAATGAATTCATTTGTTGAAGACAGAGAAGCAGTACCTTCGTTTTCAAATCTTCACTTATCTGAGCAGCTACCTGAAGATTCTGCTCAAACATCTAAAATGAGAAATAGCTTAGTTATAAAGATAGACCAATAGCTGGAATAGCGACACAAACATGGCAGGATTCCCTACAAAATGCTATTTGGAGATTTAAACTGGTGCGAGATCCCCTGCATTTTTTTAATTAAATCCATAAACTCTCTCCTGCTAATCCACAGAATAGCAACTGCCATGAATTTAACAGGTAACTTCTTGCCAGGCATCCACAAATGTCCGATTTTTTAAAAATGGTACTGAGAGGCAGTCAGATATTTTTCATGTAAGGAAGCATCACTCTGGATTCCCCCCATCTCCAAATCAATGCGGATTTGCTCTTCATGGTGGACCAACGTCTTTAAGTCAGCTCCTGCAGCATTTCTACCTATTCCTACATATGCAAGAGATAACTTGGCATCAGAAGAATGCTCACAATTCGGCACAAGATAAAGGTGCTCTAAAAATTGTGGGGGATGAATGGGAAGGAAATGGGAGAAGACATACAGATGAAAAAAAGAAGGGAAATAAATGAGAACTTGAGAGGATATGCAAGCTACCTTTATGCTGGCAAGTTTCTGAAAGTCTTTCATTGTTGCATTAGTAGTGAAGCTATTCCACCGAGGCGGTCAATGATTGTTGTGCTAGTGTAGATCAGTCACCAGCATTTTAACTATTTGTCATCTAGCCTTGTTCAGAACCCATAACCAGAACTGGTGCTAGTACAAGTGTGGATGAATTTGATTAAAATCTTAGTGTGGATGAGGTCATGGAGACAAGGTGGGGAACATGTGAGAGACTGGGAAAAGAAACTCATCTGCTTACTTAAGATATTTGCCAACTACTTTTAAAGGTAACCTGCAAAATTAAAAAAATGGTTTTGTGACTTTACTTTTTATGATTTATAAAGAATGTTTGAAAGGTTCCCCCACACACAAAAAAAGGAGGTTGTTCTACTTTTTTAATCTTAGAAGTATCAGGAACATCAAGACCTGTCTTCCCTATTTTTGCTGAAGGACTTCTTTCATGATTCACATGTGGATGGGTGGGAGCTCTTAACTGAAGTAGCATTTAAATGGTGAGGGTTTTGGATCCTTCACAGAGCTTTTCTCCCAAGTGTTTTAGGGCCGATCTAAATTAGGAAATTTGCATTAGTGTAGCTATTCTGGTGTAAACCTCTAATACTGATGCACTGTACCAGTATGATTACTTCAGTAGCTTCCTGAAGTAAGTTACATGGGTAGTTTTGCATCAGTGTAGAGAATCCATATTAGGAGTTTAAACAGAAGTAGATATACAAGTAGTTACTTCAGTGCAAATTTCTCTAATATAAACAGGCTCTTAGTTAAACAGGTGTTAGCATACAAATGCCAACAAAAAATGCCCAAATGAACAGTTTTAAACTGTCTGAATAAGAATAATTTCCCTTTTCATTCAGGTTTCACATCCTTCATATCACGGATGTCATGAACCTACTAGATTGCCAGTCAGTCGTACTCTTCCACAATTGACAAAATCTGACTTTCTAATGTAAAAAAAACCCAAACAAGCAGTGAAAAAAAAAAAACCAACAGCAACTTTTTTTTCGGAGGGGCAAAGGGGAGAAGAGGGAGACATGTCCTGACCTTTAAAAAAAGGAATACAAACACACATACACACAAGTACAGAAAAGCCACAAACCCATTTACCCCTTTTTTAGGTCACCTTTAAGCTTGTAGAATGCAAGAATGTGCCTGGGTGAATCCGGGCACAATCTCTTCAACATTCCATTTCATTCCTACCCTTACATAACATTCTTTAGGTGTTTCATAGATTCCAATTTAACAAAAATTTAAGGTAAAAGTAGGAAAGATGGATGTTCCTACTCAGTATTGTCTATGGGTAAGAAACGAAGCTTCAGTCAGTTTTTAAACATTCCTTCCCTTCCTATAATGATGCTGTACAGAAAAGGAGGTAGGTAGCATGCAAAATACTATCAGTACGGCAGAAAAAAGAAGAAAATCATGAACGATTCATTGATGTTTCTGGACATTCTTACATATTTTATGAGAGAACCATGAAAGTGTTACCAATATTCTTAACGTCCACTCTTCCAGCTCAAGAGGCTGCCACTCTTCTAGGTAAGCATCTCATAATAAGAAAATGAAACCAATTCAATCTATATTGATACAAAGAATCTGCATTTCAAGAGCTTCCCGGTTTTCTTGTTTTTCCACCTGCTCCATTTTTCTATTTTTTTTTTCAGAATTTTTTTTAAAATTAACTCATACCTGAAAAACAATAGCTGCGAGTGTAGTCTGATAGTACCCATCTTGATCTGCTTCTGGCTCAGTTTCTTTTATCCAGTCTTTTTTATCTGTCTCCAGTGCTTTTCGTAGCCAACCAATGATGTTGGACTGCAATAAATAAAATTAGATTAAAAAGAAACAGGAAAAAGCAAAGACAAAATTACCTGGAATCAAAATAGGAAAAAACCCACTATGGCCTTTAGACAAATATCCCTTTTCATAATTAAAGGTATTTTAACCAATAAGAAAAATCAATTTTCACTCACTCTCATGGCTACTGTTACAACCATCACTGCAGTATTGAGGTGCCATATACAAAATTGAGATTCACACTGATTATGTACAAAAAGGTCAATACCACTTCAGACTACAATCTCACAAGATTCCAACTAAACTAAATCAAGTTTGGCCAGTATTTGGATGGGAGATCTCCAAAATTCAATAAGAAATAGAACATTATATATAAGAGCTAACACTTAACAAGTTTTGGAAGAAACATTAAACCTCATGCTTCAGCTCTTAAACCAATTTCTAGCTGAAGGATTAGGAAGAGACTTAATGTGGAGACAGACTATCCCACATCTGCCTAAGACTACTTTCATGTTCCTCTGGAGCATCTGGCACTGGCCACTGTCAAAAACAAGATATTGAACTAGATGGACCATCGGTCTGACCCAATATAGCAATTCCTAAGTTCTAAAGAAAACTCAAATGCTGCAGAAAACAATCAATGTCACTCTTCCATTTGAGTAAATACTGAATGAATTCCAAAGAATGATGTTAAGAACAGCTGGCTTTGGATGAGATGTAAAACCACGGTTCTGATTGCTTGTGGCCATTAAAGATCCCATGGACATTTCTGGAAGAGGAGACGGTGTTCAAAGTTAGCATTTAGCGAGGACTGTCTTTGCAGTCTACCTAAATATTGCCTATGTTTTTCAAAGGGAAAATGATAATGTCTTTTACTTTCTGCTCTAAATTGTTTTGTCCTGTCCCAAATTATTTTGATGCATGTTGAACTAAGAAAAAAATCAACCCCATAGAACTAGGCCTGGGGTTCCTATCAATGCAAAGCACTAAACAAAAATGTATTAGCATGACCTGCAGCCACTTCATAGTAAACATGAACTATGGGGTGCTAAAGGATAGAGAGGGCATTCAGGATGCAAAGCCTCACCAATGAGATTATGGTGAAATAGATGCAATTGGACGATTAGGGTAAATTTTTACCCAGTAATTAAGTTTCTCCAGGTCAGTAGTTATAACTTGTAGTAGCAGATAGGAAATCATAAAGCTCTGAACTTTTCCCTATGTAGAAGAGCAGGCTGACTCAATGCACTCATACACGGAATGTACTCAGATGAAATGACTGTCATCTAAATAGGGGTGATCAAAATTTCACACCCAAAAATTTATTTTGACAAAAATGGCCTTTTTTTCCCAAAACAAAGCTTTTGCAAAGATCAGTCAACTTCTTTGAAGTTTTTCACAAAAAAAATGAAACTTTTTAAAATTGAAATTTGTCAAAATCATGTTCAAAACAATTACAGGACATTTTCATTTACTGAAGGTGTATGTTTTTGTAAAGAAAAGCCTTCAATTACTAATTCAAACACAATTTCAATAAAAAATCTCAAACTTTCATCAAAAATGGAAAATTGGTCCATTTTTAATCCTATGAAAAACTTTCAAAATTCCTCACAAACTATTTTTTTAACCTGTTCTACACCTAAATATTTTTCAAGTGGCAGCCACTTGGACCCAAGGCAGATATTTTGGCTGTTAACATGCCCATCCCGAAAGAAGGCAAAACGTTTCCTAGCTTTGTGCCACACTCCAAAAACTCCCAGATTTGGAAGGTGGATAAGTAAAATAGGTAGACCTTAGATAGTCCTGAGGTATCATGGAAACCATCTGCTCATTAAAAGCCTTTTTCTATCATGTCTGCTCAAGAGTCATGCTGAGACACAAAGTGGATGAGGTATATCTTTTCCTGGCCCAATAAAAGATTACCTCACCCACCTTGTCTTTCTAATATCCTGGGAGCAACATGGCTACAACTATACTGCATACAAGAGTCAAGCTGACAGACATGCAAGAAGATCAGGGTGTTTGTGAAGAAAGAGCCCACGGCTGAAAAGACTGTATGCCAAATTTTGATATAGTTACAGTACCAGAATTTAGTGGTCTATAAGTGTATATAATTAGGGCTGTCAAACGATTAAAAAAATAATCACAATTAATCGATAGATTAAAAATAGTCATGATTAATTGCTGTTTTAATCGCACCGTTAAACAATAATAGAATACCAATTTAAATTTATTATAAATATTTTTGGATATTTTTCTATATTTTCAAATATATTGATTTCAATTACCACACAGAATACAAGTGTACAGTGCTCACTTTATATTATTTTTTATTGCAAAGATTTGCTCTGTAAAAAAGATAAACAAAAGAAATAGTATTTTTCATTCACCTCATACAAGTACTTGCAGTGCAATCTCTTTATCTTGAAAGTGCAACAAATGTAGAATTTTTTTTTAACATAACTGCATTCAAACCATAATACTTTAGAGCCTACAAGTCAAAGCACGAAGGGGCATGCGACTGGTTAGCTTATCTGGCACATAAATACCTTGCAACACTGGCTACAACAGTGCCATGCAAATGGCTGTTCTCACTTTCAGGTGACATTGTAAATAAGAAGCGGGCAGCATTATCTCCCGTAAATTTAAACAAACTTGTTAGTCTTAGTGATTGGCTGAACAAGAAGTAGGACTGAGTGGACCTGTATGAGGTGAACTGAAAAATACTATTTCTTTTAAGCATAAGCTTTCGTGGGCCATAGCCCACTTCTTTGGATGCATAGAATGGAACATATATTGAGGAGATATATATATATATATACACACACACACACACATACAGAGAGCATGAAAAGGTGGGAGTTTTTTTTCCTCTTACTTAATTGGCCTCTCAGAGTTGGTAGACAACTCCCACCTTTTCATGCTCTCTGTATGTGTATATATCTCCTCAATATATGTTCCATTCTATGCATCCGAAGAAGTGGGCTGTAGCCCATGAAAGCTTATGTTCAAATAAATTTGTTAGTCTCTAAGGTGCCACAAGTACTCCTGTTCTTTTTGCAGATACAGACTAACACGGCTGCTACTCTGAAAACTATTTCTTTTGTTCATCTTTTTCTACAGTGCAAATATATGTAATAAAAAAATAATAAAGTGAGCACTTTACACTTTGTATTCTGTCTTGTAATTGAAATCAATGTATTTGAAAATGAAGAAAAACATCCAAAAATATTTAGAATACCAATTTAAGTTGGTATTCTTTTATTGTTTAACAGTGTGATTAAAATGGCAACTAATTGCAGCTATTTTTTAAAATCTAATTACCTGTATATACTCGATCATAAGCTGGTGCGTTTATAAGCTGACCCCCCCAAGATGCATAAGTAAAAATGGAAAATTTTTATAACCCGTTCATAAGCCGACCCTATAATTCAGGGGTCAGCAATTTTGGCTCCCGAGCCATCAGGATAAGCCACTGGTGGGCTAAGATGGTTTGTTTACCTCGAGCGTCCGCAGGCACAGAGGTAAACCTAAGTAAACAAAGTGTCCTGGCGCACCAGCTGCTTACCCTGACAGGCCGGGACAGCAACTGGGAGTCAGGGGAGTAACCCCTGTGACCACCCCTCCACACTCTCCCCATCCCATCCCTTCCCACCTGGGGAGGGCCAGGGGAGGATGTCTCTGACCTGGCTGGAGTTGCTCCGGCAGGCTGGGCAGCGCAGCCGCAGCCTGATCCGGCGGGCCAGACCGGGCAGCGCGGCCGCAGCATGTTCCAGCGGGCTGGGCCGGGCGGCATGGCCGCAGCATGCTCCGGTGCCCGGGAGGCACGGCCACAGCCTGCTCTGGGGGCGGGGCCAAGCAGCACGGCTGCAGCCTGCCAGCCCCGGAGCTGCAGCTGCTTCGGAGGCTGTGGGGAGAGCAATGTGGCCAGAAGCAGAGAGACTCTGGTCCCGCCTCTTCCCTTCTGGCTCTGCTGGCTGTGCTGCCTCTCCTTGCTCCCTCTGTTGGGGGGAGGGGCCGTGTCCCACCTCTCCCTCTCTAAACCCGTTCATAAGCCAACCCCGTCTCTGGTGCTTCCCTTTTTTTAACTAAAAAAATTCGGCTTATGAATGAGCATATACAGTAATTTGTTTTGTGTTAATTGCATGTATTAACTGCAATTAACTGACAGCCCTCTATATGTAATCTAACCATTTATGTGAATTTAGGAGTCGCTAAATTACAAAACACCACAGTGGCCACTTCTAATGGCTAATAACTTCTATAAAGCATAAATAATCCTTTGTGTTTTAGTGAAATGTAGCCATGAAATCATTTGATTAACTGTTCAAAGCTAAATTCTCATGTATATGAAGTTCATTACACCCAATTAAAGTTTAAGAAAAAGTCACAAGTTTTTCCTCTGATGAAACAGCATTTTAAGAATTTAGGTACAAACACAAGGTGTCTTATTTTTATTTGAAGGAGTCCAGAAGTTTACTGTTACTTACAGTAAGTGTCGACATGTACTTGCTAAGAAGCTGGTCTATCACATTTTGTGAAATTAAAGGATTTAGAGAATTTACATCCACTTCTGGGGCCAGTTCGGAATTTCCCATCATCTCTGTACTGAAATGAAAAAATGAAACAAAACCATAAATTGCAAATGAAGAAAGAAAAGAAGTTATAGAAATTTGCAACCTTTCTGATACGACTTCAACAGATGATTTTTCATTATTTACAAGTCTCTGAAAATTCTTAAACAATCCAGGAAATAAATTAATTGAAAGTACAAAGAAACCTCAAAACTAGAACTACTATTTGGCTAACCAAAAATATTTAAAGGACTAATTCATTTACGTACATATATTTTTAATATAGAAATGTTATCCCTATATCCATTTCTAAATTATTTTTTATCTAGAACTTTGAATGATTGCTCATTAATAACTTTACTTTATACATAAAAAAACAAAATTGTGCTGACTATGGACTTCTGACACAGACACTGTAGACACAGAACATATACATTCTAAAATTGGGGGGGGTATTAGTGTAAACAATTAAACATAATCAGAGCTTTAAGTACAGAAGCCTATCATCAGAAAGGAGAGTCAATAATGATCAACGTATCCACAGTCAACAATACCGATCATCCCATAGTTTCTTTTAAGCAGCCATACAATAACACTATAGTTCTTTAAAAGTATACAATAAATATAAAAGAGGAGACAGTATATACACACATATTGTTACAGACCTAGAAATATAGCTCAAATGTTCAGTACAATAGTGGTACTATATGCTGTAGTCATGATGAAGAGGTCACCTTTTTTGTAGGAGGAAGAACGTAGGGCAACCCTAATGTTTATGCAATTTAGCAAGGGCAAAAACAAAAATTAAACTCATCTGAATTTAAAATATTACTATAAAGATATTAAAGCAAGACGACAAAACTGTGTGTGCACACATGACTAAAGCCACAACCCCACCAAAGCATAAGATAGTAGCAACAGCCCTTCATCTTCCAAACCCCAAAATGGAGTTATCCAAGCAAAGCACACTTTCATAAATTGTTTTATTACAATTATGAAATGGTTCCAATATTTGGAAAAACTTTTTACAGTGTTTTGTAAATTGTAAATGAAAAAAATTATTTAATCAAAATTAAGGAAATAAAAATTCCTAAAATGCAAACATAAATGAGAGTAATATATATATATTTTAATATAATCTTAAAATCTATTTTTTATTATTTCTACTTCACTTTTCTGAAGATAGCCACCAATCCCCCTCTTTCCAGTTCCACCTCACTGGTCTTCTAGTTCACATATATCCAACACTGAGCCAGGAGGAGCCTTTCTTCATTAACAATGTCCATTTTACAGAGCATGACATCACCAAGATCATTTACAAATTTGAAATGATATACCGAAACACTAGAGATCGCTTTGCTTGCTACTGAAATGCAGCCATCTCTGAGGTGAAACACTTCTGCTCCAACAGCACTCTGCAACAGCTCAGAGAACGGAAGTGAAAAACTTTTTTATGCAATTCAAACTGTAGGGACTAATTTACATGGGCAAAGTATAATTACTAAAGAGGGAGATTTGCCAGGATACATACATTCTATCCCTGCTCTTAAACACGCTAGTGACCAGGACTTTAATTTTAGGTTTCATCCAAAAACATGGCACTTCAAGAAACAGAATGCTTCATAGCACCATTCTAAGGAATTGGCTCAATATTAACTCAGAGGGAAGAGTGCCAGCTACCAAATCACCACTATCACTTCCATTAGCTCCTAGATATGTCTTAGGTCTGGTTTACACCTAAAACTTAGACCAGCCAAGCCATGTCACTTGGGGGTGTGCAAAATTCACAGACGTGATAAATTGACCCCGAGTGCTCTCCCATTCACTCCTGTACTCCACCGCCGTGAGAGGCAGGCAGAGTCGACGGGGGAGCGGCAGCAGTCGACTCACCGAAGTGAAGACACCGCGGTGAGTAGGTCTAAGTACGTCGACTTCAGCTACGTTAGTCACGTAGCTGAAGTTGCGTAACTTAGATCGACACCCCCCCACCCCCCAAGTGTAGACCAGGCCTAAGGGTCTACACTACAGCAGTGTAGCTGAAGCACTGCAGCTGTGCCACTGTAGTGCTTGTAGTGTAGACTAGGGATGTAAAATGTTAACCGATAAGCATCAGTCTTATTGGTAAGGTATTCTGGTTAACATTTAAACTCTGCTACGGGACTCAGCTCCCACCCCGCTCCCAGGATCCCAGCCCCCACACCATGGGTCCTGGCCCCTGGCACCTCCTGTCTTGGGTCCCAGAGGTCGGCAGCTGGGACCCTGGGCGTGCAGGGGCAGCAGCGTTTAACCAGTAACATTTTAATAGTTTAAACGTTTACTTTTTTAAAACATTATTTACATCCCTAGTGTAGACGCATCTTAACAGTACAGCTAAAAAACTACTCACCAATGATAAATTGGAAATTTTCCATGCCAAGTGCTAAGCCCATCAATTTCTGCAGAAAAGCATCCCTTCAGGGCAGGAATTGTCTCTTTTCTGCTTGTGTGCATTATCCAGTCCCAACTGAGATCTTTGGGTGCTACTATAATATATTTAAAAACGTTCCTAGCCTTTACTGTTGCAAAAATAACATTCCAAATGTAAACTATGCAGTGACGTCTTCCTGAGCATGTAGGCAGTTTGCCTGATGTATTTTTAAGAAGCTTAACATCTTGGTATCTAAGCACTAATCCAGTGCCTCTGCTGCTGCCCGGAGGTTTCTGTGACACTATGATTGAAACATGACCGTTTAGATCATTAATATTGCCAATGTTAGACAACTGCAACAAATACTTTACAAATTATGTCATGTAAGGTACCAATGGAAAAGTCACAATCAAATATAATTATCCTGTTTGTATGTAAGTATCTCTGTATCTAAAGTTATGAATATTGATTATGTACTGGTATTTCAAATGTATTTGCTCCTGAGGTAACACCCACAAGGTAATTTACATCCAGTCTGGCCAGCACATTGTGAATGAACTATTCAAGTTGATGGACCAATTAAAGAACACAATAGGCCATAGAAGAAGCTTGTCCCTGCCCAGTGAGCCTTCCTGTGGACACTTTAGCCAGAGTACAGGTAATGGCTGCTCCTATGAGTCATCAATTTATGCAAGGGCATGTGACTAACTCATATGACCCTGGACTCCATCTTGTGCCTGTAATTTTCCACAAACTAAGACTGAGAGCATCCCCTCCACATGGGTGAAGATATAAAAGATCCTGGAAGCATCTCCATTTTGCCTCTTTCATGCTTTGATCTGTGGACTTATAATAAAAGGAGCATTCCAATCAATGGACTGAGAACCTTCCAATCTTTTGGAAGTTACCAGAGACTTTACAAGCCAGCAGTTTATTCCATCACTGCTTCAAGCCTGATACATGCACTCATTGCAAAGTTTCAAAGTAGCAGCCGTGTTAGTCTGTATCGCAAAAAGAACAGGAGTACTTGTGGCACCTTAGAGACTAACAAATTTATTTCAGCATAAGCTTTCGTGGGCTACAGCTCACTTCTTCAGATGCT